TTTAAGTCCCTAGGATATATATGATCACTTCAATATCACAAAGGAAAAGGACTTGGGGAACAAGCAACCTGACCAAAGTTCTGGCACAGTGAATAAGAAGGAAGGCATGACCCTAAGGCACACATTTTTAGGTACTGCATCTCAGCCACCAGTACTTACAAACATTGGCAAGAAGGTAAGTATCACTCTAACATACAGATGGGTAGAGTAGAGACAGGGCTTCCTCTTATATTCTTACTGCTGAGCTGAGAAAATGCAGCTCTGGTTCCAAAGGACGCCTTCTGGAATGGCTACATTAGAATGCATATTGTTAGGAAAGCCTTACTCATTGGCTAGATTAAACATTCCATTTAGAATGACTTTGGCATAATGGAAAAGGGGGAATGAGATAAGCCTAAATGTATTCACACTCTTCAGAACAGCAGAGCTCAGATCCAGCATAGAGGGGCTTGGCTTTCCCTCCCGGTCCATGTCTTTTTAGCTTTTTTTTAGAGAATAAAATAAGAGTAAAAAAAAATAGAAAAGATATAGAGCTTCATTAAACAAAATGATAGGAATTGAATAATGGTTTTCATAGTGCATATTATTGTCTTCAAACTAGTTGTTCAGATTATCAAATATAACCATGCAAAATTAGTCAAAAATTATGAAAAATTTAAAAAGATGATAAAAATTAAGTATTAATTGTGTGTGTGTGTGTGTGTGTGTGTGTGTGTGTGTGTGTTGTTTTTGGCCAGCTCAGCCCACCCCGAGAGTGGGGCTGGCACAACATGTGGTGCCAAGAGATTGAATTGCGGTCCCCTGTACCTCCCTAGACTTGCCGAAGCAGCCTCTTCAGACTGTTGAGCTATCTTGCCAGCCCTGCTCCTTTCAATAGACCAGCAGAAATCAGCAGTACAATTATCCAAGCTATCATACAGATATTGATATTTAGACATAAATACAGATATAGATTTCTTTTCCCCTTCTTTCTTTTTCTCCTTTCACTCATCCCAGTTGCTCCTTCCCTTTGAACAGTTTCTTTACTTTTCACAACATCTATTGTATCTTTCAGATTTTAGTAACTCTGTCAGCCTCTTGCACTAGGGAGATCCGCATGTGTAAACATCTCATTGTCTCCCTAGTGTGGAAACCTGGTCCTCAGCTTCGTGGGAACTGTCCGCGGTGCTGAAAGTACACAAAGAAATGAGGGTCAGTTTGCTCCATCATAAAGTTCAGTGAGAGGAGAATATTCCTGTAAAACATCATATACAGGGCTGGGGTGATGGCTCAATAGAACAATTTCTGACATCGCCAGTTAAGCGGAAGACCCAATACTATTATGGGCTACTGGACTCTTTTAGAATATTTTGCTGAGTTTACACA